CAGGCAAGACGGAGGTGCTGTTTCAACTAAGAGGAGTTGGCGCCAAGCGTGCCAAACGGGAGTTGTGGCTCGAACGGGAAGGCCGCTTCGAGATCCAATCAGAGCTTCTAGGACGCTTCACCCTGCTCGCGGTGAGGACATACCCGCACTTGGGCACACAGTTGGACGAACTGGGATCTATCGGGCCCGACCTGGCCCATCGGGAAGCGTATGTGCGGTCGTCTGGTACACTACTACGTAGACGGGTCTTTGGCTCCCCTATTGGGCTCCCGCAACAGGCCACACTGCACTTCGTGGACACACTTATTTTTGCGGGCCTCCTCTACAATGCAGGCACATGGCCCGAGCTCACGGAATCTCAGCACGCGCACCTCCAGCACCTGATCATCAGCAAATACAATCATGTTCTGAGGGCCCCTCAGAAGGACTCTGATGCAGACCCCGACAGGCTCATACTGGCACGGGTACGACGGGCGGATCTGCACGCAGTGCTTAGAGTACACAAGCTTCGCTTGCTGGGTCGCCTCTTACACCATGGCACACCTACGCTGCGCAGCCTACTCACGCATGTATACCGCAAGGCACACATACGGAAAAAACATGGTAACACAAAGTACTACAGGACTTGCAGTGGGTACGAACCACCAACTGCCGACTTCGTGACATGCCAGATCAAGTTGAGGACTTCCAGGCATGGGAAGTTCGAATATCGCAGTCTCTCCCAACTTGGAAGAAAGTTTTGCATGCCACCCTTGCTGCGCACGCAGATGCAGTGGCAAGAGCAGCTCGAGCCGACAAGGCGCAGCAGGATTTCTTTCAGCTTGTGCACCCGGCAGGAGTACCGATACCGATCACGAACGGGAATCACCCTCTCCATCCCCTCCCGCAGGTGCAAGAAGAATTTCGATGCATGTGGTGTGACTATGTGGGTACGGCAGCAAAGAGCACACGACAGCACATTGTGCGCGTACATTACAGCCAGGTACACGTGGTATCCTGGTTCATAGGAGAGGGGTCAGTATGCATGGCGTGCTCTATGGCTTTCTCCTCTCGGCGTCTACTCAGGGATCACCTAGCCTTTGGCGCTGCAGTGTGCCAGTTGGCCTACATTTTGCACGGAGCCACGGTCCCTCCAGAGAGGGCAGAGGAGCTGCGGCAAGCAGATCTCGACCAGCACGCGAAACAACGTCGTGCAGGACTAGGCAGGTGGAGAGCAGCATTCCTAGCACACATACAATATCCAGTGGACGGGCTGTACCCAGCAGCCATGTTTGCAGCAGCCTTTTTCTCTGAGAGTGAGGCCAAGGAACTTCTCCGTACGCATGCATACGAAATAGGGCCTACTGCACTATCAGCATACACAGCTCTCTTTACAGACCCCCCCCAGCCAGCAGAGCAGGAAGGGCTTACATACAGTGACAGATACTACAGATATCGACCGCAGGATTTCAGTGGAACAGCCGCCGAGTGGATACCCATACGAGTGCACAGAAAGGAGATTTTTGTGCTCAACCTTTTCTCAGGCAGGCGCCGCGAAGGCGACGCGCAGGCCTGGATTGAGCAGGAGCACGTTGCGACAGCCTACCATATTATCATGCTCTCAGTGGACATTACCATTGACACAGATATGGGGGACATCATGCGCACAGATACTATCACACAGTGGGGTGAACACATCTTGGCCAGACGGGTGTGGAACACAGGGGGGGGACCCCCTTGTGAAACCTGGAGCGCGGCCAGATGGCTGGACGGGGGTCCCCCCTTTACGTACACATGAGTGGTTCTGGGGCGTCCCTTGGGTTTCAGAACGACAGGCCCTACAACTCATGCGGCCAACATGTTTCTGCAGAACCTTGTGTTCCTCCTGGGCTGCCACATGGTGGCTGGGACCTCTGGGTGGATCGAACATCCCCTCCCGGCCCACTGGAGGCCAGAGGCCCCCAGTAGCTTCCACTGGGAGCCCCTCGAGGCCCTAGCTTCAGCGCCCATCACGATCACGGCCGACTTCGATCAATGCACGTTGCAGCCAACAGGTCGAGACCCAGCGGAGTTTGGCAGAGCTCCCACACGTCTCCTCGGATTGAGGATGCCATGTTTGCGACGACGCCTGTGCGACGGGCCAGGCAATGGCTGGTGTCACCACGGGAGATGAGTGCACAAAATACTGCAGGGGAAGGAGCAAGTTGGAGGACGCACGGTCTTTAAGACGCATGCTAAGAAAACATATCCTGAGGAGATGTGTGCACGTTTAGCAGCAGCCATTGCAGCCTCCATGCAAAATATTTATGCAGATGCTGACAACGATGATCAGCAATTTGACGAGAGCGCACTGTGCGCCGACTTACGCAAGTTTTACCTGCCAGAGATAGGTGCGGACTTCAAGATTTCACCAGATTTCGCAGGAGGAATGACCAAGATGCAGAGAGCTGACCCAGAGATGCACAGGTTCCAGGACGATCCCAGTGAGACTCCCAAGGGCCCCATATGTGCTCCGACTCCAGCTCCCACCCCAGCTCCGACTCCAGCTCCTGACAGCCCCAGCATGAATATTCCCATGCATGAACCAGGATCGGATGAGGAGTTAGAAGCTGAGAATTTGCTGGGGCTTTGCCCCTCCCTCCCCGCCTCTCCCCCGCTGCCGCCTCCGCCTCCCTCGCCCCCGCGGCCGCACCCCCTAACGGGAGAGCAGCTGGACCTCATCGCCGCCAAGCGCGCCGAGGCCCGCCGCCGCCGCGAGGCCAAGAGGGCCGAGGCGCACAGGCGGCGTGCGCCCTGGTCAGGCGCCATCTCGTTTTCCGGCTTCTTCGAGGCCGGGCCAATTCCCAGCTGCCCTCTCCCTCCCACAGGTTTGGAGGGATAGGAGGCAGCGGAGGCAGGCGTGAACGCGGACCCAGGTCCCATGTCACCGTCCCACCACCACGTCGTCGTCTTCGTTGGCGACGTCGTCGTCGTCTTCGTTGTCGTCGGCGTCGGCGTCGTCGTCTTCGTCGTCGTCGACGTCGGCGTCGTCATCGTCGCCACAATCGTCGTCGTCGTCGTCGGCGTCGTTGACGTCGTCGTCGTCGGTGTCGTCGTTGTCGTCGTAGTCGGCGTCGTCATCGTCGTCGTCACTATCGTCGTCGTCGTCGTCGTCGGCGTCGGCGTCGTCGTCGTCGCCGTCGGTGTCGTTGTCGTCGTCGTCGTCGTCGTTGTCGGCGTAGTCGAAGTCGTTGGAGACGTCGTCGGTGTCGTCGTAGTCGTTGTCGGCGGCGTCGTCGTCGTCGTTGTCGCTGTCGTCTTCGGCGTCGCTGTCGTTGCCAAGTGCCATTTGGTACCCACCGTCACGGTCTTAAGAGATGTTGCAAACCAGGTTGCGGGTGGGTGGGTGGGATGTTTGCGCGAGCAGTGGAGTGGACAACGCACTGCGAAGAGAAACTACTTCCACCACATAGATTGCACCACGTGCAGCGCAAATCGTGCAAGAACCCAAGTTTGCGCGTCGGTGCTGGCAAACCCTGTTTTGGTACAACCCTGCGGAGGCCGCCAGGGACCTCCAGTTTAGCTCCGACGACTCCTGGTCAGGATGTGAGGGCGCCGCGGGCGACGCGGAGGGCCGCTGGGAGGCTCGGGCCGGGCGAAAGGGGGGGATTGGGAAAGGGGGGGTTACGAAATTTGCTGCATGCAGCTGGTTTCGGCCTCACCGAGGTGCCCATTCCTCGATACATGGCCGCCTCCGGCGCCGGGAGGCGCCAGGAAAATCAGCTACACAATGCCACCACCTTACCCGTGCGACCACCCTTCGGGTGATAAGGAGGTTGGGGGGCAGGAAGGAAAACCCATCGAGCACAACTGCGATGACCGTGATGGTGATGAGATGGCGCCATCGATCTCACGAAATCCACAATCGATTTCACCATCGATGTCACCATCGCTCTCGATATCGATCGCACTATCGATCTCGCTATCGATCTCAATACCGATATCATCATGAGAGATCTCACGAGATACCTTCGGGACAACGCTATGGGCCACCCCCAGCCACGGCGGGGCACACCCAGCCAACGATCTGTTGTGATCGATCTCGCTATCAATCTAACTATCGATCTCTCGATCTCCCGATCGATCTCACGATCACGGTCGATCACGCAATCGATCTCACTGACGATTTTATTATCGATCTCCTGATCTCACGCGCTACCATCAAGACACCACGGCGGGACACCTGGAGCCACCGTCGGGACATCCCGCGCCACCGACGGGGCAGCCCAGGATCGATCTCACGATCACGATTGATCACGCAATCGATCTCACTATCGATCTCACAACTGATCTCACGAGCTACCATCGAGACACCAGGGCGGGACACCCACAGCCACCGTCGCGACACCCCGCGCCACCGACAGAGCACCGACGGGATACCGACGGGACACCGACGCACCACTGACGGGACACCGACGCGCCACCGACGGGACAACCCCGGCCACCGCGCGCCGGGAGGGGGCGGACAAACGGCTCCACCCCTAGCCCTAGCCACGGCGGCACCATTCCTCTCGTGCGCCCACGCAGCTCCGCCTCGCCCGCACGCGCGATGCGAACACGAAACCGAGACCGGTTTCCTCGTGGGGCGCTCTCCGCTCCACTGCGATCTCGCCCCCCGACCTCCGACCCTTGAATGCACTTTTCTTCTTCTTCCTCCTCCTCCTCCTCCTCCTCCTCCTCCTCCTCCTCCTCCTTTAGGCTTTCAGGGGGGCTCCCGTCGCTGCGCATGGATCAACCTCGAAACTCTGGTCGGAAGCGCACTCTCAGGAGACGCCCGGAGGGGTCCATTTTGAGATTCGCTGCTGGCCGGTCCCGTCCTGGGCCCAAGATCGTACGCCCTCCTGTCTTAGGGAGCCACCCACACCGATCCTGGGGCCAGGATGGGCACAGGCAGGATCACGTCCTCACCAGCTACGCCACTCTTTGATTGGCCCTGCTGGGGTCTGTTCGATTTGTTTGTGGAGGGCCGAGACCGCGGTGGCCTTCGCGCCCTGGGGCAGCTGGTCCAACATCACGTAGACGTCGCGCCCGTAGAGCGCTCTGGTCTCCTCGCACGCGATGAACCCAAAGCTCGTGCTGCCACGCCTCGTGCTGATCGACTTCAGGCGCCCCACGTACTCGGCGGCCGCCCCGCCCTGCTGGCGGGGCTGTTTGTGGCCTCGACTCCACGTCCCGCACTGCAGCTCCGCGGCAGCGATCGCCGACGCCGAGGGCACGGGCAGCGCGGGCTGCGGAGGCGGCACGGCGCCGAACCTGCGGGCGCCCATCTCCGCCGCGGCGGCGATCGCCGCGCTACGTGCCGCGCTGTTGGCCCGGTGCATTGCCTCCTCCGCCATGGCCACGGCGGCACTGACCTGTCGGGTCGGGCGAAAGGGGGGGATAGCAAAGGGGGGGTTTGAGAATCAGCTCACGTAGCTGATTTTCCCGGCGCCTCCCCGCGCCGGAGGCGGCCATGTATCGAGGAACGGGCCCCTCGGTGAGGCCGACACCAGCTGCACGCAGCACATTTCGTAACCCCCCTTTTTCGGGGATGGACAGACCTCCCTTTAGTAAAACGTGGTTTAGTGAAAACGACTTCGGGCCCAAACCTGGCGGGCGCAAGCCTGGAAAATAACGGCCACGGCGCCCTCTCGAAAACCGAAAACGGACAATTCACTAATCGACGTGTCACTGTTGGGGGTTCTGTCCACCCCCGACTTTTCCCAATCCCCCCCTTTCGTCCGGCCCGAACCTGGTACGCCTGTGCCGCCAGGTGTTGCGCGACCGCCTGCGCGGCGGCACCCTGCGCCACCGGCGGCCAAGCCGCCGCCGCCCTGGACGGCGGCCACACGGTCACGGCAGAGGGCGCCCGCGGGTGCGCGAGCGCGGCGGAGGGCCCCAGCGAGCTGCTGCACGCCGCCCCCGCCCACCTCCCCTGCGCCGCCAGGCCGCCGTGGTGGACGCCCGGCGGGCCCCCCCGCCGCTGCGCCAGCCAGGCCTCGCCCTGCGTGCTCGCTGCGGGCGGCTGCTGGGGCAACAGCTGCTGCCGCTCGGCCTGCGGGGGCTGCCTCGAGGCGCTCGCGAGCTGCACCCACTGGCCGACCACCCGCTCATGCGCGGGCGCGTCCAGGCTGCTTGCTTGGCCGCGCGCCCCCCCCACGGGCTTCGCGCCGCCCTTACCGCTGGGGGCCGCACCTCTTGTGCCGCGGCCGCAGCCCTTGAAGCCCTGGGCGTCGCCCGCGGTGCCCTTCCCACGGCCCTTCGGAGCCGCGTCCCCGCCGCCGCCCGGCCCCCCTGGCGGCGCGCTCCACACGCCAGGCGCGACGCTGACCGCGCCAGCGCCAGCGGTGGCCGCGCACCCGCCGCTGGCTCTGCCTCGCCCTCGCCCTCCTCCCCCAGAGGTCCGACGACGTGCTTCTGACGACCTACCAGACCACCCCAACCCAACCCGAAGACCCGAATTTCGGGTTGGGGGGGGGGGTACGGGCTCCATTCGCGTTTCTGTCGATGTGCCCGGACCCCCCCCCCACTAGAAATCGAGGGTAAATCTGAGCCTTCGGGTTGGGTTGGGGTGGTTTGGTGGGTGGTGAGCTTCTGCCCCGCCCGCGGCCCCGCGGAGGGGCCCCGACCCGAGGCGGAGGCGGAGGCGGAGGCGGAGGCGGAGGCGGAGGAGGAGGAGGAGGGGGAGGAGGAGGAGGAGGAGGAGGAGGAGGAGGAGGAGGAGGAGGAGGAGGAGGAGGAGGAGAGGCGGAGGAGGAGGAGGAGGAGGAGGAGGAGGAGGAGGAGGAGGAGGAGGAGGAGGAGGAGGAGGAGGAGGAGGAGGAGGGGGGCCAGCTTCTTCCGCCCCGGATCCCCGCCGTGGCCGCGCGGGGCCCGACGGCGGGCCCGTGGAGGCCGAGATACCGAGCAGACTGCGCCGGGATGGGCAGAAGCCATTCTCTCGCCATCGCTCGGAGGGCACCAACTATACACAAACACCGATCCTGGCCCAGGATCACCCTGGGCCCAGGATCGGTGTATATGCCTTCTTGCGCAAGGCAGGAGGGCGTATACACCGATCCTGGGCCCAGGGTGATCCTGGCCAGGATCGGTGTTGGTGTATAGTTGGTGCCCTCCTGCATCGCTCGGGCGTCAATTCTTTGTGTTTTTTGGGCTTCGTGCGTGTGCTTTTTTCGCCCAATGGTCCAGGATGTTCCTCGAGGGCCCTCGCCGGAGGAAAAATGCACACGTCCGAGCGATGCCAAGTTATCGTCGGCAGTCCGGGTCCTCTCGCCGCCGCCGCGCGGGCATCCCCCTCGCCGGCGCCGCCGCCGCCCCGGCCTCGACCCCGCCCGCGGCCTCGACCCTCGGCCTCGACGCCGCCGCCTCGGCCTCGGCCTCGGCCTCCGTCGACCTCCAGAGAGGCGGCGGTGCCGCCCACCCTCCGAGCGAAGTCTGGGGGGGAGGGGGCAGGAGGACAAGATGGAGGAGCAGGAGGAGGACAAGATGGAGGAGCAGGAGGAGAATACGGAGGAGGAGGAGGAGGAGGAGGAGGAGGAGGAGGAGGAGGAGGAGGAGGAGGAGGAGGAGGCGAGGAGGAGCTCTGCAGCCGAGGTCCTGCGGCCTGACCGCGTCCGCCGCGCGCGGCCGAGGCCGCCGCGGTCGCGGGCGGCCCTCCCGAGGCCGGCGGCGCAGGTCCGCGGGGCGTTGCCGGCGCGGGCCCGGAGGGCGCCGGCCCCGTGGGCGCTGGGGCGGCCGCCGCCTCTCAGGACCGTCTTGGCTACACGCTACGGAGTGACCCTGGGTACTGTCAGCCAGTATGATCCCTGAGATCCGACGCTCCAGAAAAATTGGAGCGGGCGGTTTTCGCAAGTTTTCGGCCTCCAGGGGCCCTCGCCGGGCCTCGGGAGCGTCAAAAAACTACTCAGGACGAAAAACCGGCCCCAGGGAAGTGGTTTAGACCTCCTGGGTCCGCGCGCCAAAAAAATTGGAGCAGCCGGATGTCTGGGATATGGACGCACGATCAGGATGCAAGGGCCCTGGAAGGCCATGCCGACACTTTGCGAGCGGGGCGCGGCCAACGGCAACGGCCAAGGATGGGCCGAAGGGGAAAGGTGCGAGGGTCACCTTGGAACGTCGATCATTCTGTCAGATTGACTGTGAGAGTGAGAATGAAAGCGAGATTGTGGGTTAGGTGCGCAGCCTTTTTGGGGGGCTGCGGGGGGGCCACTTACAATCGCGCAAGACTGTACTATCCGCACTGGGACCGCACCAGAGGTCATTCCGGCGACGGGTCACTCTCACTTGTAGGCGACCGACTTCCCATCGACGTCGTCGTCCTGGGCGTTTCTGTTTCTCTAGGCCGGCCAAGATCTCGATGCGGATCCAGCCGAAGCGGCGAGGAGGCCCCAATTCGGCGAGGAGACCCCAGCAAAGCAGCAGGGGTGAAGAGGCGGGTGGTGGAGGAGGAGGAGGTGGAGGAGGAAGATGGGGAAAAGGAGGAGGAGGAAGAGGTGGAGGAGGAGGAGGGTCGGCTAATCAGAACGCGGGGGGGCCAGGGTGAGACCACGGCCACGCGCGCTCCTTGTTGGCGCATGTTTGACAAAAGGGACCGTGGCCGTCTGGACCACGCATGTAGCTGGCGCCCAGGAGAGAACAAGCCGCTCCCCGCCCCCACGTGGCACTCTCCTGCGCCCCCCCTCTGAATTTCTACATCTAAATCCTGCCCGGCGGCCCACTCGCCGCTGGAGGCACGGGGGAGGCCCGCCCCATTTGCGGCGGGCAGTGAAAAGAGTCCGTCTTGGACCCCCGCCCCACGGCGGGGGGAAACCTGCAGGGTGGGGGGGGGAAAAAGGGGCAGCTGCAGCCGCTGAAGCCGGACGCTGCCAGGGGAGGAGGAGGCAAGAGAGAGATATGCAGGGGGCAAGACTAAATTGTCAGAGGGTGGAACCCCAATAAAACAGACACGTCCTGCCCGACGGCGGCCCACTCACTACCGGGGGGGGAGGGAGGGAGGGAGGGAGGGAGGGAGGGGAGGGAGGGAGGGAGGGAGGGAGGGAGGAGGGAGGGGGGAGGGAGGGAGGGAGGGAGGGAGGGAGGGAGGGAGGGAGGGAGGGGAGGGAGGGGGGGGGAGGGAGGGAGGGAGGGAGGGAGGGAGGGAGGGAGGGAGGGAGGGAGGGGGGGGGCCGCCCCTTTTTGTGGCGGGCAACGGGAAGAATGCGTCTTGGACCCTCGCCCACGCGGAACCCCGCGCGCCGGCCCCGAATAGAGCCCCCCCTGCGCTTGTCCTCCTCGGGGGGCCCCCGCTTCCCCGAGCCGCCTCAGCGCCGGCGCGCAGGCCGCCCTCGTCTTCCCACCAAAAAATCACCCCCAATCCCAGACCCCCTCGAGTAATGAAAAAATCACGACGGGAGGTTTTTCCTAATTTTCGGCCTCTGGGGGCCCTCACCGGGCCTCGGGAGCGTCAAAAAACGACTCAGGATGCAAAGCCGGTCATGGGGAAAGGGTCGGGACCTCTGGGGGTCGACGTAATGAAAAAATCATTACGTCGGGGGTCTGGGATTGGTCCCGCCTCAGCAGGGCCGCGGGGGTGGCCCTGGCCGCGGCGGAGCACTTCGAGGAGGCCCCTGCTCGCGCGGTAGTAGAAGCAGCCCCAGTTGCCCATCCAGGCCGCGCGCGCGTGCCCCGGGCCGTCCACGCCTTGACCTGGGGAAGGGTCATCCCATTCATGCGGCTCGTGCTGGCGCCCTTTGCCGACGCTGAACACGATGCCAGTGGCGCTCTGAAAACGCATGTAGGCTGCCTCCCGGGCGTCCTCCTTCCAGCCTGGTCGCCGCGGGGAAGGAGGGCCCGCCGCGGTCTCGTCGCACTTCAAAGCCAGGACCCCGCAGCCGCGTGGCTCTGACCCTCTGATCCTAGGGGGCAAACAAACCTACCTCGCTTTTGACCACCCTCGCTTCCAAGAGATACCAAACGATGCCAAATTGCAGCCTGTACTGGTCAGGCTGCTTGACGAGGAGGCGCGTGGTATGGCTTGGTTTTGCCTGGAAGCGAAAGCGGGGTAGGTAATTCACGCTCTGAGATCCGCCGGATTGCCACCAGCGTGCAACCTTCCTCGCGCGCGCCCACCAGCCCGTCCGGGCGGGCCCAGGGGGCCCCGCCTCGCCCCCTGCTTGGCCCCGCAGGGGGGAGGGGGGCGCCGGGCGTCTCCCGCCCCGCAGCTCGCCCGCCGGCCCGCCCCCGGGACTGGGGCGCCCCTGCCCTGCCCAGGGCTCCGCAGGGTGGAGGGCTCCGCGGCGGGAGCTGCCCGGGCCTTCCTTCGCTGGGCCCGGCCGTCCCCTATAGGAGCCCCCCCAAGCATTCGACCCTTCCTGCTCCCGCATGCGTTGCTCCGCGGGCGTGGCCTGAGGGCCTCCTCCCTCCCAGACCCCCGACGTCGTGATTTTTTCACAACGTCGACCCTGGGCAGTCTGGACCCTTCCCCCGGGGCCGGCTTTCCATCCTGAGTCGTTTTTTGACGCTCCCGAGGCCCAGTGAGGGCCCCCCGAGGCCGAAAAGTAAGAAAAACATCCCGTCATGATTTTTTCATCACTCGAGGGGGTCTGGCCTGAGGGCCTCCTCCCTCCTCGCGCTCGCCGGACCGCCCACCTGCGGGCTGCCCGGGCGACCCCGCGTCTCCGAAGTCCGGCATGCAGAGGGCCCGGAAGGCGCCCCTGGCCCTAGGGCGACGAGATCTATGCATATCCACTGCTCCTGGCCAGGCCCATCCTGGGCCCAGGAGCGGTGTATATGCCTCCCTGGCCAAGCCAGGAGGGCGTATACACAGCTCTTGGGCCCAGGATTGGCCTGGCCGGGAGCAGTGGATATGTATAGATATCGTCGCCCTATGGCCCTCCTGCGACCGGAACTCCCCGCTTTACCGCGCAGGCCAGGGAGATTTCCAACAACGGCCCGGTCTCGCCGAGTCGGCGCGCCCTTCTTGAGCCAGGGCGGGCGCCGCGGTCTGCCCCGTCGAAGAAGTCCCAGAATACCTCAGTCAACGCGCTGCGAGCGCAAAGCCCCGTCTCGCTGCGCACCCTCCAGCTTGCATTGGGGAGCGCTTCTCCGCCCTGCCCCCTGCCGCGTCTCGCAGGTGCTCTACGCCGCGGGCTGAGGCGTCGGGCAGTAGTGGTCCTTCTCCTCCGTCGCGACTATCTTCCCCTGATCAGTCCACCATCCCGGCTTTGTCCAGCAAGGCAGGTGGCAGGAGGGCCCCAAATCCCACCTCCCGGCTCAACCTCGCCCCCGGCCCCCCGACGCCAGACCCCCCCCCAGCGCCCCGCTGAGCGGCCCGCTCGCTTGACGATCTGCTTCGATTGCTTCGGATGGCGTAGATGCAGTATAGATCTTAGATAGATACTCCGCCATTCTCCATGAAGTTTACCCATGAACATCCGGTTCGCACCTGGCATATGTTTCAGCACATCATGTATCCATGGGCAACTTGGATTAGCGAAGCCCCGCAGAGTGGTTAGGTGAAGAGAAGATGATCGGCGCTCAGTCACCACGTCTAGCTTCGGATGGCACTTCAGCAAGCTCGGTAAACAGGTTAGCTAAGTCGTTTTCTAATCCAGATCGGTGAACCCACCTAAGCTACCGGCCGCTGGGGTGGGGCGCCCGCTCTTCCGGGCCCCCCGCCCGAAGAGCGTCTCGAGGAGGCGGTCCTTCGGGCGCCCCTGACATTCCGGGCGGGGGCCTCCCCGCCGCGGCCAACTCCTCATGCGCTGTCTCCCGGACTGGCTCCAGGAGCACCTCCACGACAAGCTGGACAGGGCCGTGGTCCTCCTCGCTCGGACCCCCGCCCTCCCCCTTCATCACCAGCCTCCTCTTGGCCCGAGGGGGGCAGGGGACTCGCGCGGGGGCTCCCATCGGGCCATCCTGCCCCGGGGCGCCGTGCGCTGGTTGGCCCGGGGTCTGGGAGCGGTCTCCCTGCCCTGATTTCCCCCGGGTTGGCGGGTGGGCCTCTGCACCGGCTCCCCTCGCCCTCCCTCCAGGCCCCCCCCCGCGTGGAGCTCGGGCTGGGCGGGGTCCGATCTGGGCCGCGGCCCGGGCGCCAGGCTGCACCCGCGGCAGCTCCAGCTGCCGCGCCGGCCACGGCGCCCACGGGCGCTCCCTTCCCACTGGTGCCTGGGGGCGGTGCTCCGCGGTCGCTCGCATCAACAGGGCGAGCCCCGCCAGCCTACACCCTGCGAAATGCTTTAGAAATCATGGGTTAAGAAATTGATAGTCTCAGAATTTAAGTAAAAACACAGAATGCCCATTCAAATCTTAGGATTTACATTGAAACATTAAGAATAATCGAGACTCTGGCCGAAAATTTAGGTTTTCTTAAGCATCGCCTAAGGTGTACCATGAGCGCGACACGGACATGCTCTGGGTAAGGGCCCAGGGCCTCCGCAACAAAACGGCAGCCGCAGCCGCCCAAGCCAGACGGCTGCCAGGGGAGAATGGGCCAGGAGAGAGAGAGAGAGAGAGAGAGATGCAAGGGGCAGGGTGAAACTATGAAAGAGGGAACTTCAATAACAGAAACACATACAACCCCGACTTCATGACTTTTTCACAACGTCCACCACCAAAGGTCTCAAACCATTCCCCGAGACCGGCTTCTCTTCCCGGTGTCGGATCGCGTTCTGCCAGGTAGAAGGGCCCAGCAGTAAACATATTGAAAAACCTCCCGTCATGTTTTTCTTTTTTTTGTGACGCGAGGAGGTCAGGGATTCCCGAACCCTCGCGCCTCGAGCTATGATACTCCAACCCATTTTAGTCTTGATCACAAGAAAAAGTTTCGAGCACCAAGAGGAGTGCCGAAATTTGAGAAGTTTCACGCGTCGGGCCCTGCAAGGCGATACTCGTTCGACACTTCGCTGGCGTGTCGGGCAGACACTGTTTCGATACCTGTCTGGGTGCTCGAAAATATTCCCCAATCAGAGCTTGCCTTTGTAGGGGACCTAGCGGATTCGTTTGGTTAGGTGAGGTTGGCCACCGATTTCCGTGGCCCGCCCGGGTGCCCAGGTGCCCGCGTGCCCGGGTGCCTCATAGCCCTATAGCCCTATAGCCCCCTAGCCAAATAGCCCTATAGCCCAATAGCCCTATGATCCTGCAGCACTATCTCCATAGAGCCCTATAGCCCCATAGCCCTATAGTCCTATAGCCTCATAACCCAATAGCCCAATAGCCCTATAGCCCTGCAGACCTATAGCCCTATAGCCGTATAGCCTTGTAGCCCTATAACCCTATAGCCCTATACCTCTATACATATATATATATATATATATATATATATATATATATGTATGCCTATAGCCCTATAACCCTATAGCCCCATAGCCCTATATACCTATAGCTTTATAGCCCTATAGCCCCATAGCCATGTAGACTCTTAGCCCTATGGCCCTATGGCCCTGTAGTCCTATAGAACCATCGCCCCAGAGCCACATAGCCCAGTAGCCCTATAGCCTTACAGTCCTATAGCCTTAAGGGCCCTATAGCCCTATAGTCCTATAGCCCTATAGACCTATAGCCATATGGCCCTATAGCCCTGTAGTTCCATAGTCCTATAGCCCCATCGCCCTATAGCCCTAACATTAATATGATTGTTTTTCTCTGGTATGATTTCTGGGGCGCAGTCCTCAAGTACGATGGGAACATCATAAGCCTCGAAGCCCTTCTGGCGAGGCGCCGCCTGGTAGCGCGCGGCCCGGCTCGGGAGGGGCCCGGGCCCCGCAGAGCGCGTTGGCGGCGCCGCGGGTGCTGCCGCGGCCGCCTCGGCCAGCGGGCCCTGGCGGCCGCGCGGTGGTGACGGAACGCGGAGGGGTGGCCCGGGGCAGGCCCAGAGCTGTCTGTGGGGAGGAAGACCAGCCCTGAGATCCTGGCGTCTCAATTCTCTGTCGAACTGGGCGTTTTCGCTCAGATGTTTGGGCCCTGGTGCCCACGCAGATGGATCCGGCTCGAAAAATGGTGGAGAAAGATAGGGTTCGGGGGCCCAGTCACATTTTTTTGCAATGCTGCCAATTTTCCCCCACATCCTACATGGGATTCTTGTTTTCTCTGCACACACCCCGCGCAGGAACCCCTCGCCCTTCTCTTTGTCACCGTCATCATCACTATCAATATCACACTACCATCGTTAGTAAACTCACTCACGCTTCCTCGATCACTTTCATTTATTCATAATTTAATCCCTCATTACCCCATTCAGTCATTCACGTCTCCTGACTGGCTCACACACGCACTCATGACTACCACTGACTGCGTTGCGAGGAAGTCTCAGGCGGGAACCCCTCCCTATAGGGCCCGCGGCTCATGGTAATAATCCGAACGGGTCATCGGCATCGGGAGCCTGTAGCTGTCGTCACTCTTGGCCTCCTCTGGTCTGAATATGGAAGACGTCTCGATCGAAAACCTCGTCTGTGCATGAATTGCGAAGAAGACTCAGGCGGGGGGGCCTTCCCTCTGGGGCCCACAGATCACGTTACTAATCCGAGCGGTCCGTCGGGATCCTGTAACTGTCGTTTTTACCTAACAGCGAAGACTGATAGGTTTCTAATGGGGTCAAAAGAAACCATTTGATGACTCCCCAGGGGGGTCTGGGCGGGAGCCGGACAGGCGAGGGCCGGGCCCTTTTTTAGCAAACAATCGCACACGTCGTGCTCTTCGACCTCCCAGAGCTCCATTCCCGGGCCACATTTTGAATGCCCGGAACCAGCTGTAAGCCACTTCGTGCTCTTCGACTTCCCAGAACTCCACTCCCGGGCCACATTTTGAATGCCCGGAGCCAACTGTAGGCCACTTCGTCCTCTTCGACTTCCCAGAACTCTATTCCCGGGCCACATTTTGGATGCCCGGAGCCAACTGTAAGCCACTTCGTGCTCTTGGACTTCCCAGAACACCACTCCCAGGCCACATTTTGAATGCCCGGAGCCAACTGTAGGCCACTTCGTTCTCTTCCATTTCCCAAAACACCACTCCCAGGCCACATTTTGAATGCCCGGAGCCAACTGTACGCCACTTCGTGCTCTTCCACTTCCCAGACTTCCAAGACTCATCAACTTCATCATCAAGATGTCTTCCAAGACTTCGTGCCCGTTTGCGAGATGTCTTCCAAGATTTGGTTGGAGGCCGAGAAAGACGGACAGAACAAATCCAAGTAGCGCGGCCATCATCCCATCATCCTCCTCAATCATCACATCATCATCATCATCAATGGTTTCGTCGAGCACCCCGGTGGAGACTCAGGTCTTACGGGTCCGTGCTACTACTACTACTACTACTACTACTACTACTACTACTACTACTACTACTACTACTACTACTACTACTACTACTACTACTACTACTACTACTACTACTACTACTACTACTACTACTACTACTACTACTACTACTACTACTACTACTACTACTACTACTACTACTACTACTACTACTACTACTACTACTACTACTACTACTACTACTACTACTACTACTACTACTACTACTACTACTACTACTACTACTACTACTACTACTACTACTACTACTACTACTACTACTACTACTACTACTACTACTACTACTACTACTACTACTACTACTACTACTACTACTACTACGACATCACACTAAATCCATTCATGGGAATGCCTGTTTTGGAGCTGCATTCATTTATGCAAGTGTGTCGTTTGAGGCTCAACCCGTTGATAGCATTGTCTCGTTTGGAGTCACATCCGTTGATAGCAGTGTCTTGTTTAGACCTCAATGCATTTATACAAAGATCTCATGTGGAGATACCGTTATCGAAAGCAGTGTTTCTACTGCTACTACCACTGCTCCCATCACTTCTACTCGTTCACTCCACACACTACAACTACTACTTCACTGTTACCACTACTACCATCACTACTACTTCTACTGATACTACTACTGTTACTATTACTGCTGCTGCTGCTGTTGCTGCTGCTAGTGTAGCTAGTGCTACTGCAACTACTGGCAGTGCCACTGCGACTGCCGCTGATGTTGCCACTGCGACTGCCACTGCGAATCCGAATGCGACTGCGAGAACACCAAAATTCTACAACAGCACTCTTACATGAATACCACAGGCAATGTTTCCAGCTATGTTTCTACACATCGCTGTTAGGTTGCTTTGCCGGGATAATTTTGGGGGATTTCCGCAGACCTGAATATAGAAGGCGCATCAAACGGCAGCCTCGTCAGTGAGTGACTTGCGCACAAGCCTCAGGCGGGGGCCCTGTCCCTATGGGGCCCGCAGATCACGTTACTAATCCGAGCGGGCCGTCGGGATCTTGTAACTGTCGTTTTTTTTGTCTCCACAAGCCTCAATATAAAATGCGCATCAAGCGGGAACCTCGTCGGTGAGCGACTTGCTAGGAAGTCTCACGCGGGAGTCCCCTTCCCATGGGGCCCGCAAATGATGATACTAATCCGAGCGGGCCATGGGGATCCTGTAATTGTCGCCGCGCTTGGCCTTATCGGGCCTGGCTATGGAGGAAGTCTCAAGCCAGAGCCTCGTCTGTGAGTGAATTTCGAAGAAGTCCCAAGCGGGGGCCCCCTCCCCATGGGGCCCGCGACTCGCGTTGGCAATCCGCGCGGGTCATCGGAAACTTGTAACTGTCGTCAAAGTTGGGCGCCTGAGGCTTGAAATGTTGAGGAAATATCCAGCGGGAGCCTCGTCTGCGAGTAAAGTGTGAGGAAGTCCCAGGCGGGACCCCCCCCCGAAAAGGGCCCGCGCTTGATGTTGGTGATCCGAAAGGGGGGTCATGCGAATCCCATAACCGTTTTCACTCTTGGGCCCGTCGGGCTTCACTCGGAGTGCGAGGAGCGCGCGCCGGGCCAGCTCTTTCGCCCCCGCTACCTACAGTGAGGACTCTGGCTGCAGGCGCACGGCTTCACAAAGTCTCCGATCTACCGGGAGGTCGCCGGCATGCTGCGACAGGGCGCCGAAGGCGCCGACGACGACGGCGAAGCCGAGGCGCGGACGAGGAACTCGTTCATGTTCAGGCACAGCGAGCAGGAGTTCACACGGCAGAACTCGGGGCCGCACGTCGCGCGCCGCTCGGGGTTTACCGTGGCGGGCGCGTCCTACCTCACCTCCACGCTGTCGCAGGGCCAGATGTCGTGCCAGGCCGTCGCCATCGACTGCGCGAGGGACGAGGACGCTGGCCGCACGGGAATGTCGGACGAGCACTGGTGGCTGCACCTCTACGTTGTGTTCTCCCGCGCCACGCGCATGCGGAACACGCCGATCCCGCGGCCGCTCTCGCGCGAGTTTCTTGAGCGCGGGCCGCCGGCGTCTTCGCAGAAGGCGCTCAAGAACTCCGGCGAGCAGGCGAAGGCCTCCAGGGGTGAGGCGGAGCAGCTCGCAGCACGGCTGGGCTTCGCGGCCCCCCGCCTGAGCGCGGCCGCGCTTACCTCGAGGTCCGCGGGGCTGCCCCAACGGCCTGGCCCGCGGGGCTGCCCCGGCGGCCTGCCCGCGGGGTTGCCCCGAAGGCGCGGCGCGCGGGGTTGCCCCGAAGGTTTCGCGACCCAGCCGTCGGCGAACGCGCGCGCGCTGGCCAAGGCGGCGACGGCGCCGAGGAGCATCGACTCGCTTGCCCCGACCAGGGGCAAGGGGAGGCGCACATGGAGAAGAGGCAGGAGGTGGGCGAGGAGGGGGGAAGGGGCAGGGGCAAGGCAAAGATGAGGAGGAGGTGGAGAAGGAGGAGGAGGAGGAGGGGGAGGAATGGAAGGAGGAGGAAGGGGGGGCGGGGCAGAGGGCGAGAGGAGGGCGTCCGCCAAGGCGAGGAGAACAAGGCATTCAACATATTTTCGCGGGGGTCGAGATCCCGCCGTCGGATCACTTGCTGCAACGTCGTATCCGATCCCACGGGGGAAGGATGGCCAGCAGGCCCCGGAGGGCTCGCAAAGGACCACTGCAGTTTCAGCGCGAACAGAAAGGTAGTTAGACACAGTTTCGACCGGGGCAGGCCCAGATCTTCTTCGCGCCCGGCGGCGCGCGCGCGGGGGCAGAGGGGGCAGGGGGGGGGGGGCTTCTTAGACGGGGGCTGCGTCTTAGATGGCGCGGCCCTACATCTCCAGACAAGGCTCGCGCCTTCTAAAAAGCAAGGGAGCTTCTCAGAAGCCGCCCCCCTACTCCTCTGCGCGTGGCCGACGCCCGGGGCAGGCCCAAATCTCCCCGTGCCGATGAATGGGCACGGCGGATCCGGGATCTGGGCGCTGCAACGTTTGCGCGCGAAGCGCTTTCGCCCGGCCCTGGGCATCAGCAGGATGCGCAGAAGCCTTTTTGCCTTGAGCCAACCCGGCAACGGACCAAACAAACAATGGTATTGGCTCATATTTCTCTCGGGTTTGACCCATAAGCTAAGACCTAAGCCCCTGACAGTGGCGCCCCATCACATGGGTCGGACTCCCCGTTCGGCTCAGCTGCCCCAACTGACAGCGCCGCGTAAAAAATGTCAAGGGCTGGAAGAGAAGGAAGGGGGGCGGCGAGAGGACCTGGCTCTGGGCCAGGAATAGACTCCCGAAAGACAATCCATGACACCAGCTGAGAGTCCTGGGCACGCGTCCATTCTGAAGCTTCCGAGGGCCTATCCTTGCATCCAAGGTCGCACATGGGGCGGTCCAGCTCGTCTGCCTCATCGATCGAGACCGACTGCCGTGCGTGGGGGGGACTGGCCAGGGCAGCGCTGCCCTCGCTAATCGTCCTTCGCCAGGGCATCCCCCGGCATCCGGCCGCGCGGTATCCAGCGGGCGCGGCCCTTCGCGTTCTCGAGAGCGTCGCGCGCCACTGCTAAGGCCGGGGCCGTCCGGCGATCTCTGGCACTGGCGTTGCCTTCCTCGAGCATGGCTTCGTGGATGCTGTTGGCATCCACGACGCGCGCGTGCTCTTCTTGGTTGCTTAACCGGCAGCTGTTTTTCAAGACTGCGGTGAAACGTCCTGCCCCTCCAGAGTGGTCCGAAACATCCACGTCATCTTGAAATGCGACGTCTCGATGCGCAACCTGCGAGAAATCCCCTGCCGCCCCAGCCGAGGACAGAGCCCGGGTCTGGCTGGCCTGGGTCGACGTGACCCCCGCCTATGCTAGGAATTCTTCCATCCGAGGGTCGACGCCCGAACGACGCGGATATCGATCGCGCTCTTGTCGGTAGACAGCACCATCCAAGCGCCTTAGGTGGGATCTTCGGGCAGCCCCTCTCGTCGACCTGACCGCCACGAGAGCCAGCCCCCCTGGCATCTGAAGAAGAAACGAACGCCGCGCGGTCGGGGCCCAGTCGCCAGATGCTTTGGCCCCTCGAGGCCGTCGCTCCCAAGTGCCGCGCCAGGTTGTGAGCGCGCGACGCATCCCTCGCGGGCGGCTTCTTGAGCCGGCCGGCCAATATGCTGGCGACCCCGGCCGCTTCTGCTCGAGACTCGCGACCCGTCCAGTTCAACTTGTAGATGAAAGAGCGGGGGAACTTCAATTCTTCTCTGCCGATGGGGGGCTTCTTTTTTGTCCCAAACGTCCACGAGCGAGGGATATCGGGCGAATTCCCTCGGGGATATATTCCTGCTGGTCGACGGTCGCGCGCCGGGGGCCGAACCTCGCGGGTCGCCCAGCATGCTCGACAGGGCCTGCGTGACAGTCTCTGCGCCTGCCGAATTTGAATCTGCCCTCCAGATTCCCACGAAGCCATCGACGGATGTCAGGGCCCCTACTGTCGATGAAGAAGAAATCATGAACCTCGAGAAGGATATGATTGACAATCGCCCCCTGGGAGTTAGATCGGATCCACCAGCGCGTCTCGAGAAGACTCCGATTGAAACCGATGTCTCTTAGAAGTGCGACGATCGTCTTGCGCCCAGCGAGGGGGGCGTCGCCGAGGCCGTAAACGTTGACCTTGAGGGGGGTCAGAGACCCTGGTTCAGCCTTGATGCCATCGCATGGTTCCAACTATTTCTCCTCTGGGGCGTCTCATCGGACCCGACTGGCAGATGGCGTTCTCGACGTCTGCGATGTCTCCTAGAAAGAATGAATTCATCATGGTCTGGGTGAACGCGGGGATGAACGTCGTCTGGCGGGTGGGGGAATGCGCGAACGATGATCCCGTGCCAGGGTCCCACTGGCCGCGCGCGCACCACCTGGATTTCGCCACTGGGTCGGAGAAAGTACCCTCCACTGGTTCCCATCGGCGGACCATCGTGCTCGCGACGATCCTGCGCGACTGCATTATGCGGGCGGTTTCGGCCTGTCTCGGAGGCGCAGCTTCCGCCGCGCCGCAGCCATGCCCCCCCCGCATGGGGCAGCTTGCCAAGCGAAACCTCTCCGCCACGGGTGGCAGCAAACACCTCCGGGTCGTGGCCCGACCCCTGGACCTCGGTCAGAATCGCGCCCCCCTGTCTCGACGCTGAACGACGCGGGGCCTCTGGGGGACCTCGCGGCCCTCAGTGCCGCTTGAATTTCTCCTCGGACGATCCTCGATCTCGCCCCCCCTCGCTCGCAGTAGCTCGAGCGCGGCCCGCCGGGGGGCCCCCCGCGCCCCCTGGGCCCCGAGGAGAAGTTAAAAGGAAAGACGGAATGGGCGGCGGCGGGGGCGTGGACAGGAGCGGCTGGGCCCGCGCCGCCTCCGCCCCCCGCCGGAAGCTCGAGGCCAAGCGGCGGCTCGATGCGAGCTCTCTTGGCATCTCCCGCCCCAGGGGGTCAGCTGGCCGCGCGCCCGCGCGCCCTTGGCCTTCCTGCGTTGCAGGATGCGCGCGGGCAGGTCCGTCGGGCGCTGAATCCCAGGCCCCCCCGCGTCTGCCAGGGCCCCACTGCCCCCCCCCCAAAGGGCCCAGTGGGGTCGGGGGCAAGAGCGCGACGAGACAAGGAAGGATCAATAAGGAAAGGAAAAGTTGTCCCCCAAGCGGGAACGCCCTGGTCTCTCCCGACGCCTCCTCTTCCGTAACCCCGGCGGTCTCGGCGGGAGGATGGGGGTGCTGGCTCGGCTCCAACGGTGGAAGACTCACGTCCGATCCGGCCCGGGCCATCGCGGACCCACCAGCCGAAAACAGGGGGCGCGGTCGGACTCCCTGGGGCCGCGGGGGAGGGCCGAGCGCCGAGGGGTCCAGGGCCCTGGTTGTGATCGACTCTGGGATCGGCGGCGACTCTCCCGCTCTGGGCCCTCTCGTCTTGTCTCGATGGTCCAGCCGGGGTGCTGGGGGCCAGGTCCGAACCTGGGCTTAAGGGCTGATTCCGCGCGTCGTCGGGGGGCGGTTCTCCCTGCACATCTACCGCTGCCTCTCTACGTGTCTGAGCCTGGGTCTGGGCCGACTTGGCCCCGTGCTCATCCTCTGGGGGCGCAGGTCTCACTTGCTCGGGGGGGCGCTTCCGGAGGCGCGCCCGGGCGGCCACCCAGCCATTCCCCCGTTCGGCCAACGCGACCTCCTCTGGGCCCGTCCAGGCATCTCGGCGCCTTCCCAAGGCATCGGCCCTGGACCCCGCCCTATAGTCATCCGTCACCGCGCGAAAGCCGAAAAGTCGATCGCCAGCCCGATCCCGGCCGGGCGACGCCGCTTCTATGTCGGCTGTAATCGCTTCTTTCACTCAACCCTCGTGCCTTTCCACCCTGCCGATTCGCCGTGGTGAATTGGCATCGCTCGCCACAGCGCCAGCTCCGCAGCCTGCTGGACGCACGCCTCGTTGGGCGTAGGCGGCGGTGACGACTGACTGTTCGGCCCGAAAGCTGACGCCTGCTGCCCTGGCTGAGCTGGCGGCCAAGCCGATGCTGCACCCGCTGCCCCCCATTGGGCCGGAGTCGCCAGAGGAGGCGGCGGACTCTGCGGCAAAGGAGGCAGCTGGGCCGAGCGCCCGCCGCGCCCGTCGCATCGTTGGCCGAGGGGGCCCGGCTGCTCACCCGAGGCGGCGGCCCCAGAACCTGAGGAGGCGGATGCGACGGAAGTAAAGGGGGCGTATCCGCATTGGCCGACGTCGGGTCGCTGCCCGACCCCGGCTGGCCCAGCCCGCTGCCCGGCAGGGCCGGCCCCTGTCCGATGGGGCTCGCCGAGCTGTCCGACTCCGCGCTCGCCGGGGCCTCCTCGCGACGCGCGAGGAGCTCCCCCGTGGCCTGCTTTGCGACCCGTTCCATTTTCTCGGGCATCGCCGCCGTCGTCGCCGCTGGAGTCGTCGCGGCGACTAGCCGCGGCATTGCGATCGATGTCTCTCCTGCGGAGGCGGGGCGGCGACTCCCCGCGCGCGGGGGGGTCGCGGAAGCTGCTCGCCGGGCTCAGGCCTACATGTGCTACGGAAGCGACGATGATGAGAAGATGCGCGGGCCCCCCTCTTCCCTGGCGCCCCGGGCGCGCAATTGGCCCGGGTCGCGCCCCTGGCTTTCCCGCCGGATCCTATGGCACCAGACCTGATTCTAGACGCTATCTGAGCTTGTGGCGGTAGGCCCTCCCGACTGCCCTCGCGGCGGCGCCCAGGACTCTCTTCTTCGCCTTCTGGGCGCTGTCCTGGATGTCCCAGATAGGAAATGACGCTCAAAATGCGAGGCGCGTCCTCCTCAAGGACGGCAGTCTCGATGATGCCCAGCGCCACTCCCCCTAGGCAAAGGGGAAGGAGTATCGCAGCAACCGCATTGGCTGGGCCGCCCACCCCGCGGGCGCCGCGCAAATGTCAGAACGATTCGGGCGCCGACGCGCGCTGATGCCCGACGCGCGCCAGCTCCTGAGACTCCGCGTTGAAAGCTGCGCGCCCCGCGACGTCGCTGCCTGCCCCGGGGTCGATCACTGCCTGGTTCGAGGCGGTCGCGAGATGCGCCGCCCCCTCCTGGGCGCCCTCCAGGTTCTCGATCTGATCGCCAGTCGCGACGGGGAGACAGAGCCCGCCGCTCGCGAACCCCGCGCAAGCGCAGCCGTTGAGCACGCGCTCGCCCTTCGGCCCCGGGCGCATGCTCTCGTCGACGGGCGGAATTGGGCGCTCCCGGGGCCCGATGCTTCTTGCTGATCGCATATCTTACAGCGGGTGACCTTCATGAGTGGCTCCAGCGAGATCTTGCAATCTTGCCTCGGCGCCATTGAGAGCGTCGATCTCCGCGGCCGCGCCCGAGGCGGCAGGCCGCCCGCGTCCGAAATGTCGGCCTCCACCTTGCCCGCTGCCTCGGCCGTTGGCCCCCTGCGACTTCGCCGAGCCATTGAAGTACTCGCGATCGTTCTTGGCGGCCCCCTCGAAATCGTCGTTGTCGTTCCACGCGAGACGCTTCTGTCCCAGCTGCAGACGCGCCTCCTCGGCCTCGTCCTCGTCGAGCTCTAGGTCCTCGATCTCCGCCGCAATTGCTAGGGCGCCCTCTTCGCTCATGTCGGGATCGCCCCCCTCGTCGAACCCTTCCTAATCTGCTGCAGCCTCGCCAGGCCGACCCCCAAGGTCACCCGCCTCGGACCAGGAGTTGGCGCGAGGAGGAGGGGCGGGAGATATGGAGCTGTTGGCGGCACCTGACTGACCGACTTCTGCGGCAATCACAGGGCGGGGCGTCGATCTACCTGGCATGAGGTGCCCACTGCTGCCGTAGTCCATCTGCCGCAGGGCCCAGGCGACGTCTCTGTATTCCAGGCTGCCGTGCGTGAGCGCCCTCATGTTATGTTTAACCTGCGCGCTGAGCCCAGCGCCCTCCTCCAGCATGAACCCCTTGAGCTTCTCGGAGAGCCAGAGGTCGTTGCCCTCGGCCTCCTGGAACTGGAGGTCGCTTCGACTCACTCACTGCGTCAAAGACTCCTTCGCCTCGCGGGCGCACGCGTAGAGCGCTCGACACCCAACCCGTCGCAGATCGTCTCCCTCGCGTTCTCCGCTTATGAGGTCCATGCGCTGCAGCAGGATGTCTAGCCACTGCTGACCCGTCAATTCCTGCACCTGCGCAGAGAGCCGGTCGCCCTGATCAGGAGACTGCAAGGGTGCCGCCGCGGCGGAGGACGCCTCGGGCCTCCCCTGGCCCTTGGCTCCGCCACTCAGCACAGCGTACGTCTCGTCACTCTCGGCCGGCATGCCGTCCACTGCCGTGGATCTCACAGTGTCCGTCTCGTCGAGCGCAACTGGCCTGGCCGCTAGAGCAGCGCGCCGCCGCCTCTCACCGGCTGCGGTCCGCGCCACCCGCGTCGGCCATTGCCAGCCCCGCTCCGCTAGCAACTGTGGCAGCAGCAGGATACGCAGAAACCTTTTTGCCTTGAGCCAACCCGGCAACGGACCAAACGAACAATGGTTTTTGGTTCATATGTCTCTTGGGCTTGACCCATTGGCTAAACCTAACCCCCAGAAGGTGACACCCCATCACAACAGATCGACCCCGCTCGAAGAGTGCCGCAGGAAGATCTGGCGCCTGGGGTCTGGGGCTCTGGCCGTGCATTTTCGCGATGTTGCATTTTTTTTCGCAACGTCGGACCTCAAAGGAAGATTCGTGGCAATTTACGGCCTACAGGGGCCCTTACCAAACCCCAGGACCGTCCACCATTCATCGATGTTGGAGCGTCCAACATCCATCGATGTCGGACGTTCCAATACCCTGGACGATCGATTCGATCGATGCCGAACCGTCCACGGTCGACCGTCCAATATCGGTACATGCCGGCTTTTCATTCGAGGTCGACTCGGGATGAAAAGCCGGCCCCCAGGAATGAGCCCACCAGGCTGGTAAGGCTTCGGGCTGCGCAAAGACAGCTCCCCCGGCTCCCCGAGCAGCCCATGGCGGTCTCACCCCCCTGGCGCCGCTTCAGGCGGCGCCCCTTCAGGGCGCTCCGCGCCCCAGGGTTCGGGTGGCGGCGCTAATTGGGCGTGGCTTAATGGGGGGGTCACAAATGGGGGGGTCAGAAAAGGTCCCTTTCGTGCCCCTTCCGGGTCCCTCCAGAGCCCCAGGGGGCTCGTTTAGGTACCGTTTGGGTACCTTTTCGGACCACACTCGCCACCCCCCCATTTATGATCCCCCATTACGCAGCGCCCAACCGCCAGGGTGTCGACACCGCCCCGGGGCTACTCGTGGGGTCTGCTGAAGCCAGCAGGATTGCCTGGGGGGGCTGCCTGTGCGCCACCCGAAGCCTCGCCACACCAGGCCTCTGGGGAGCCGCGCTGCGGACAAAACCACGGCGTCGGACGTGTCCGGGTATGTCGGGCGCGCTGGCTCTGCGGCGGCACGGCGCTCGGTTGCCCGGGGTTTGGCGCCCCCGGGTCTCGGGCGAGCTGTTTGGATCAATTCTCGAGCGCCCGGGACGGAGAACCTTACACGGGCGAGGACGGCGGCGGCGATCAGGACGACGACGAGGGCGGCGGCGACAACGGCTGAAGACAAGGACGACGCTCGAGGGCGACAACGACGACGCTCGAGGACGCCAGCGGCGACCGAGACAAGGACCAAATGGACCCAGGACGGAAAACATTTCACGGTGGCGGGATCAGGAATTCCCTGGGGCCGTGCATGTAAGAAATCGTCACATCGTGGGATGTCTGGGCTCGGCTCATGACGTCCAGCCCGCCCTGCTTTGGCAGCGGCGGCGGAACCGCCCCGACGACGACGACGACGACGACGACGACGACGACGACGACGACGACGACGACGACGACGAGGGCGGCCAGAACGGCGACGGACCACGAGGTCGACGAGGACCGCGCCGAGGCCCGGCGGCGGCGGCGACCGCGGCCACGCCGACGCGACGCCGACGCCGACGAGAACGCCGAAGCCGAGGCCGAGGCCGAGGCCGACAGCGGCGGCGGCGGCCGGTGGCCGCGCCCCGGCCTCCGACGCGCTGGCGGCGGGCAGCAGGGAGGGCGACGCGACCGCGGCGCCCTCGGCCAGCCCCTGCTGCGCCGCCTCGAGGCGTTGAGGCTCGGCGGCGGCGGCGGCGACGACCCGTGCAGGCCTCCACTGAAGGGGCCCCAGGACACACAAATAAATACACACAAATAAAAATAGTCTCCATATTTTCCTATATCTTCTTGGCTTTTGTCTTCCTCCCCACTTTCCATATTTTTCTATATTTTCTGGGGAATCGACGATTAATTGTGTCTGTGTGTTTTTTTCCCTCCTGAGTATTCGAGGGCCCGAGGGTCCTCGGGCTGCGAGGCTCGAGGGCTCGAGCTGCGGAGGTTTGCGGGCGTGCCTGGCCTCTTCGGGGCGCCCTCGCCGCGACGGCCGGATCCGCCTCGAGATGATAGCCAGAGCGCACCCCGTGATGATGGGCCTGTTTTCCACCACCACCACCATAAGTTGGAGGGGGGAGGTGGTCCTCCTCCTCCTCCTTCTCGTCCTCCTCCTCCTCGTCCTCAACCATCTCCTTCCCCCCTCCAACTTATGGTGGTGGTGGTGGAAAACAGGCCCATCACGTGAGGGGTCCGGGGCTCGGCTTCCCCCGCGCGCCCCCGGATCTCCGACGGTGTGCTCTTCCAGTCCCGGCGTGTGGCCTCGCATATGCTGCCCCCGGGGGCCGGCTCTCGGGCCCAGGGGCCAAGAGGAGTGGGCTCGAGGAGGCGGAGGAGGAGGAGGGGGAGGAGGAGGAGGAGGAGGAGGAGGAGGAGGAGGAGGAGGAGGAGGAGGAGGAGGAGGAGGAGGAGGAGGAGGAGAGGAGAGGAGAGGAGAGGAGGAGAGAGAGGAGAGGAGAGGAGAGGAGAGGAGAGGAGAGGAGAGGAGAGGAGAGGAGAGGAGAGGAGAGTGTCTGGACCTCGTGGGGCCGCGCAGTGCAAAAACCACCTCGTCGGATGTCTGGGGCGGCGGCTCGGACCTCGAGCGTCCGGGCGCCGTCGGGAGAGTTTCTGCAGGCTGTGGGCAGTCGTCTGGCGTTTTCGGGCCCCCCCCGGGCTGCTTGTCCAGTCGCATCCTGCACCTTGCTGAGGGCCATTCTGGGAGGGCCGGAGGGGTCCCAACAGGCTGCCTGCTGCCCGATGGATGGCTCGACAATCTTGGGCCCGCATCTCCAAAACATGTTTACGAGAGCAGCGCGGAGATTCGTCGCCGCGCTCGGCGCCCCTGGCGGCCCTCGCCAAGTTGAAAAGCTGGCCCTGGGAAAGGGGCCGGGACTTCTGGGCGCCCCGTGTTAGAAAAACAAGGACGACGACGACGACGAAGACGACGACGACGAAGACGACGACGACGACGACGACGACAGCGGCGGCGACGGCGGGAATGACGACGCTCGAGGACTACGACGACGATGCTCGAGGACGACGGCG